GACAGAACCCAAGAAACAAAAAGGTTAGAATAATACTTACTATATTATTAAAAGAATTGAAGGCAATAATTTTTGTATAAAAAAGGGGCCGGAGGCCAATGCTTCTATTTCCTCTGCATAGGCACGGGCGGGCCTGCATATAGTTAGTATTTATGAGAATTAATTTGAATTTTCATTTGAGAGAAGTGATGAGTGAAGAACACGTTTTTTTCGTGAACACATGTATGAAGAGAAATTATGATGATAATTGGGTAAGAGCATCATTATCCATGAGATTTGGTGGGTATCATTAGATATAAAATTATTAAAATTTGAGTAAAAGGAAGAAAYAGAGTGTTTTTGGTTGAAATAATGGAGTATATTAAAATATAAAATTAATAAAATTTGAGTAAAAAGAGGAGATGAGTTGATACTTTTGGAGAGAGAGTCTTTGTATCAATGGGTTGATACTTTTGGAGAGAGTTTAAACTTTAGTTGGAGTATGTTTAAATATAAAATTAATAAAAGTTGAATAAAAGGATGAAAAAGAAGGTATAAAATTGAGTAAAAAGAAGAGAGAATGTGTGTTTTAATAATTTAATATCTAATGATACCCACCAAATCTCATGGATAATGATGGTCTAACTACTATTTTGTCCTTTAGCTTCATGATACATGACTACGTACTGGATGAGCATGTGAGTATCTGTACATATATTAATGTGTTTAATTGTTGGAAATTGAAGTAATTTGACTCAACAAAGATATATCCTTTTCTCTCTCAAAAGAAGCGGCCACAGAAGTTTTAACCTAGTTTTCGAGAGATGTTGACCGGCGTCCGGCGGCTCCTTCAGCGCCTACGCCGGTTCCTTTTACTTGCTTTTGCTCTAGATTTCTCTTTCCCTTGCTTTAGTCGGTGATTCCTCAGGCGGTTTGGTTCGTGCGCGCAGATCTAAGTTTCGTTGGGGCTTGCGGTCGGTGATGAGAAGACGACGGTTTCAGTTCTGGTGACTCTAGTTTCCATGGCGTGGTTTTCCGGCCTGCGTTGTTGTCTTTGTTGGTTTTCTCCTAGATCCACTTTCTAGATCTGTCTCTTTCTCCGTACTTACATTAAACTTAGTGACATATCTAACATATGTTGTGAAGATGAGTAATTCAAGAGCAGCCAAAACAGTCAACACTTGGGCTTCTTGTTTTGTCTACTTTCGGGTAAGAAATCTCTTTGTGTAAGTATATGTTAAACACCATTAAATGTAGGTAAACGTCTGAGAGTGGAAGTTGGTGCCACTGGTAGACCAGGAGGAGTTTTTATGGCTGAGAAGAGTAGCGAAGTGGTGGAAGGCAAGACTGATAGTCGGACTGAGCAGATGGTGGGAAGTGATTTGGCGATTGTAGAGCACTCTCCACCGGATGATATGCAAGTGATGACGGGAGGAGAGTTGGGAGCAGGGGAGGTGTTGGCGAAA